GGGGCGACCGGAGTCCGAGCGGCTCGTGTTTCAGTGGTTGACTTTAATTCTGCACTGCACTTTGACTACAGGGATATAAAGAATAAATAGCAGATACTCTTCATTTACATGGGATTAAGTCATTCAAACCGTTCTCTCTATTTACAATAACATTGTGCTCTAGGCGTTTATTCTTTAAAGCCTGTCAGGAAAAAGACACACACCCCCCCACACACACACGCTTTTTCCGTATAATGGAAAATAGCTTTAATACGTTTTCTTATCAAAAAGTTTGGTTTGTATTTTTTAATCCTTTTATTAAAAAAACCCAACAAAAAACAACAAAAACCCCTTACTTCGCCAAAGCGAAGCAACTTCTCTCTGGAATATAAATACCAAAAAAAAAAAAAAAAAAGATACATTAGCAACGATCAGGGTAATAGTCTTAGAAATACAGTAGACGCTGATTATTTCACGTATAATACTGACCTTTTAATAGTATATTAAAACGGTGCCATATATACACACAATATACATTCTCCTACACGTTACAGTGCATTACAACGTTAACCAGAAAGCAAATGTCTCTTATTTCTGTTGCAGCAGAGGTCCACATGAGCCCGCCGAGCAGGGGCGGGTCCACGTGAGCCCGCCGAGCAGGGGCGAGCCGAGGGCAGCGCCGGCCCTAGCAGGAGCACTTGCACTCCGAAATGATGGGGTACTGGATGGGTATCCATGTGCACCGCTGCCCTCCCCGGCGCTGGCACCTCCACCTCAGGATCGTTAAATGCACGGACTTGGCAGGTTTGCAAACCATGCCTTCGGGGACCGAACAAGACCTTTTACTGTAGCAGCTGCCCACTTTGACATACCGGGGCCAAAAGCGGCTGCCGAGATCGTTCCACGTGTATAGGACCGGGCAGAAGGTCTGGGACCAGAGCCACATCTGCAGCTTCCTGCGCAGCTTCTTGCTCAGCCTGTGCTTCTTGCCCGGCTGCAGCCCGTCGTAGAACTCCAGCCCTTTGATTTCGCTCGGCATCGCTCCCGAGGGTCTCTGCCTGAGCAGCAAGTCCAGCTCAGCCAGCTCGTCCACTCCCAGCCGGTCCTCGGGCGCAGAAATAGCCATAAAGTTAGGGTCGAAGTGTCCGCCCATGAGGTTCCTTAGCAAGGTCTCGTTAAGATCCTTCTCCTTGGGGTCAAAGATAGGGTCCGGGTGCTCGATTAGATCCACCAAGGGCAAGTTGTCGCTGGGAGCCGGTCGGATGTGCAGATAGTGCTGGCAGGCGCCCTGCTCTAGCCGGAGACCCAGCAGAACCACCAAGGCGTATATAGTCACAAGGCACTGGGAATGATCCATCCTTGGGAGACCGGTGGGGGGGCTTTCGGAACAGGGCTGTGATAGGAGCCTGGCTGGGACACCAACTTTCCCC